TTGAAGGAGAGCGGAGGTGTCAGTGTGTGACTGATTGCAGCCCTCCACTCGCAAGGCCAGCCCCGTCTCAGCACACAAATCACTGCACTTGCACACACGCAAATCTCACACCAGTGCTTTCAGCAATGCTATTCGAGTATTCAAAACTATAAGTGTTGACAATCAGGTCAAAAGAATACATTTCTTTATGCAAACGTTGACCATGTGAAATAAAAAAAATCATGAGCTTAACATAAAATGAGACATCCTTGTTCAGATTCTGCACTTTTTCTCTCCAAAAGTTATGAGCTTTTAAAAAGGATTTGACAATATGAAAATTCATTTTTATAATTTTGTTTGATTTAATTTTGAATATTTATTATAGTTAAAGACTATATTTATTATTATTAAGACTATTATTATATTAATGCCAGATAGACAATCATTTGTATTCATCATTCAATATTCATTATTGCATTAGTAATCATTTTTAAGACAGCATTCCAGGAAAAGAACCTCATGCTAACTGTGAAACAGAGGTGGAAGTGTCAAGGTTTGGGGTTGCTTTGCTGCAGCAGGACCTGGTCAGCTCACCATCATTGAATCCACCTTGAATTCTACAGTGTATCAGAGGGGTGTTTGAGAAAGATGTGACACCATCTTTATGAAAATTAAAATTGAAATGAAATTGGAACATGCGACACGACAATGACCCAAAACATACCAGTAATTCAACTAAGAAAACTAAGAAATTGAGAGTCCTGTACTGGCCAATTCAAAGCACAGATCTTAACCCTATTAAGATGCCGTGGCATAACTTGAAATATACTGTACATGCAAGAAACCCCTCAGACATCTCACAGCTAAAATAATTCTGCTTTAAAGAGTAGGCTACACTTTGCTCAGATCGATGTCAGAAACCAGTAGATGGTCACAAGAAATATCCCACTGCAGTTATTTCAGCCAAAGGGGGTAACACTAGCTATTTAGGGGTAGGGTGTCTTTTAAGTTTTTCCTCAGTTAGAATATGCATTTTTGTAGAATTACATTTAGAGAAGATCTTGAAAAGTGTTTTTTTTTTCAGTTTTAATAGTTTAGTTATTTTACCATCCCTTAATCTTTTTTGCATTGTTAAAATGGAGAAAATAACCATATACTAAAACACCTTACAAAAAAATCCAGGCTTTTAAAGGGTGTCCAAATTTTAATTACATGACTGTATATGGAGTGTGAAAGTGTGTATATTGAGTTCTTTGCTGAGGCTGTGGATTTAAAGTAAAAATGTTGTAAACATTGACCTGCATATTATGAATCATTGGACAACATCATAGCTAGGTTTACATCAACCTATTTTAAGTGCACTTTGCACAATGGCATAAAAATAGCTTATTGCTAAGATTGGTAAACCCACGCATCTAACTAGTGTAATCTTTTTATCCGATAAAAAGAGTGCATAAACTATGATGTAAACACAGTTTATGATGTAAATAATAGGGCGCAAGACGTGTTTGCCCAAATGTATAGCCATTTTCAGACCAACGCAACCTTAATTTTTCGCCACTTTTTTTAAATAGCAAATCCATTTGCACAACTTTGTGTACTAATGGGTGTTTTGGTCTAGAAAAGACGTGTGTTAAGGCGCATTGTTGGCGTGTTGCTATTTTGAGGAACTAAAATAGACTGCGCAATAGACCAGCTGAAAGCAGGTCTAAAGTCCAACGCAGAGCGCATTAGTTGTGCACCTCGCTTTCACAGTGCTTAATACACACAGGATGTACAGCAATATGCAAGTATCTTTACAAATGAAAAAGAAATAAAGGATTAAAGAATTAAAGAAAAGAATTAAAGAATTATGTTTTCTACAAGAAAATATAAACACTACTGCCTTTATGCCTTTATTCTTTTGCTGGAAATTAGAACTGAATTTAGGAATAGTTTTGAAACAAATCTTTGTGCTTAACAAACAAAATTAATTATGTATAGGCTAATGAATGTCTAAGCGTAGCCTACAACACTGTTTCCTTAACCAGGAAAGGTTTGCTTTTATGACAAACTTTGGTTAAAGGGTTTTAGAATGATCAAAAAATTAATTATGTATAGGCTAATGGATGTCTGTGCATAGCCTACAACACTTTCTTTTTCCTTATCCAGGAAAGAGAGAAAGTGAAAGTAAAGGCCAATTGGAGGAGGTTCATTCTTTATCCTCGTGCTGCAGGTGCTCTGTTCAACTGTTTTCACACTAGTAAAGCGTTCAGTTTTCCAACATACAAAGTCTGCCATGTAAATAGCAAATGTGCCATGGCGCGACGCAAAGGAAATGGGAGATGAGACTCTGATTTGTTTATTCTCGAAACACACCTATAACTCATTAAGAGAATAAGCTCAACCCTGTTAGACCATGCGCTGCAGCACAGGGCGTTTTTTTATGTCCTTAAAATAGCAAAAGGGGATTCGGTCATGCCCTTAATGCTTTTGCGCCCTGGGCTTCAGACTTTGTGCCTAGATCGCTAAAATAGTCCTATGTTGTTATGTAATGTTTTTTTTTTTATCATTCTAAAACCCTTTAACCAAAGTTCATCATAAAAACAAACCGGACATTCTTTGCACTTTGTTTCTGTCCTCTTAACTGCAAGTAATGCATTAATCTTTTAGATATTTGGTGCCAGTTGATCAGAAAGTGACAATTTGGTTCTCTTTGACTGATTAGATGGAAATGGTGCTTTTATTTGCAAACGTTTTATGTGAAAATCCAGTTTTGCACATAAGGCTAATTTACATCAATAGATAGAAACCCAGGTAGTTTCAACTTAAAATCTCCTTTAAGGGTCTACTAAAGAAAAAAAAAAAAAAAAACTCTTTCTATATGGCCCGAGGGTGAGTGAATTACCACCAAACTTCGATTTTGGGAGAACTATCAGTTTTTTATCCCTTATTTTTCTGACATAACACACTTCTCTGTTGTTTATGAATCATTCTGTCGTTTTATTTCTGTGCTACAAAAGCAGGCCATCACATCAGCAGTTCCCGAAGACCCCTTTTCTCTCTCTCTCTCAGCTAAAAATACAGAGTGCTTTTTTTGTGGCAGTAAAGCATTGGAGTTTAGATGTGGGTTAGTGCTGCGCTCATGCATGGCACTGCTGACCACTGGTTCTGCCGTCCTGAAGCTCAGACATGCTGAGAACGGCCTTAATTAATGGAAAAAGTGTGCTGGAGGTGAGCGAGGCGGGAGGATGATTTATTCCAGTGTCACCTTGACCCCTGACGCAGAGATACAGCTCAATTAAACAGGATTGGCCCCACGGCACCGCTTTCATCTACTGGCCGGCAGCTCTGCAAAACACGCACACACACGGGGACTATTCCCTTCGTCCAATAACAGCCATATGAAGCACTTTTCGCCTCCCTTTGCCACCGAAAAAATGGTAATAACCTAAACCAAAATAAACTGAAGGAGGACATGAAAAATAAACGCTACAGGCCGGACTGGATCTTTTCTGTGGTTCCTAATTGCCGTTCTAGGCTTCTGTTTCCAAAACACTTTAAATCATTATCTGACGATCTATAAAGCTGGCCCTCCGAGCAGCGGTTGAGCATGAAACAAAGTCAACACGAAACAGGCTTCAAAACCTGTTTGACTTCCATAGTATGACATGTTTGCAAGTGAAATACGATATCCAATGATTTAAGCTGATTGATTTTTTTTCTTTGTTCCCTTTCTGCTGTAGGCAACGTTTTTACAAGTGAATCCTTCATCTACATGTAAATCTCGTAGCTATATTAGATTACTCCATTGGTGCTGTGCCACACACATATATTTTTATTTATTTAAAAAATTTATTAATTAATTAATGCAGTGCATCCGGAAAGTATTCCTAACACTTCACTTTAAAAAAATTAATGTTACAGCCTTATTCCAAAATAGATTAAATTCTTTTATTTCCGCAAAATATTACACACAATTTTATATATTAGGTATATTGACATCTGCCCATGTATATTTGGTGGTGACACATGAATAATACTATTATTATCATCCTTTTACACTTTTTGTATCTGTCCAAGAAAGCCAAACATTCGCGCTTGATTAAGCAGTGAAAAATCTTCTCTTGCTCTGAACAGTTCCTACTGCTGGTTCTATGTGTGTGAGAACTTTCAAAACTTAAATGCTCTGCAGACCCATATAGACGCACTTTTTGTTTCAAAATGCTTCCAACCGAAGTTTTTGAATCTCCTACAATCCAGGATTTGTGTATTACTTTCGGTTTCTAAAGTTGCCCTTATTTGTATGTGGTTTTGCATGACCTTTTTGCTGCTGACTGCGCGCCCAAAGCTGCGAGAGAAACATTAATTGATTAATCATTTAATAAAATATTCAGATAAACTCAGCTGCAAAATATTTGTACATTATTAGAATTGGCTAATCAACTAATTTGCCTTATTAAAATAATCTACACAATTGTATTCTAGTAAGTATTATAATTTTTAGCAATAATGTCAAGTTTGACTTTTTCTGTTATTTATTTCTCATTTGCTGTATAGTTTATTAATTTAATGATGTTAATATATTACATACTTCATACATATCTAAAATGCTTTGGCAATACAGTACTATATTATGATTTATTGCCATAACATTGTAAATGTCATGCCAATAAAGCAACTTGAGATAGAGAGAGAGAGAACATGGCTCCTAAATAGCATAAAAGTAGGAGGAATAGTGGATTTCTGAAAATAAAATAAAATAAAATTTCCTATTGAAAAAAAAGCATATAACATTATCATAATAAATAAAAATATTGTTAAAAATCACTTTTTTTTTGTTTGTCGCATGTAGAAGGTGTGTTTATACAGCGCATGTGTATTTCAAACCTGTGGGAAGCATTATAATTTAAAATAATTCACAACAAACAAATTGAATGAAAAGCTTTCAAGAAGTCTGAAAAATAGACTACTTTCAACTTGTTTCCCAAAAATCAGACAATTCAAAACACCAAGCATGTTAAAATGCCAGGTCTGCTTACCTGCGAAAGCTTTGGAGATGTGCTCCTTCTTCCACTCCCACGGCTGGTCATATTCATCTGCGGGCCTATCATCATCCTGCGGCAGCCTGCTTTCCCTGCCCTCCTCTGGCAAATCCGGCTGTCCTGGGACGCGTTCTTCATATGGGGTGTCATAGAGCTGGACTTCCCCTCTTCCCCAGCCTCCTGCTCCACCACCTGCTCTCCTCTGCAGCTCTGCAACAGCAAACAAACCAATGACAAAGCTTTCCTGACTTGAGTTTCCCAATTTTTGAGCTTGATTTTTGAGTTTTCGGTATGTTTCAGAGGTTTACATTTATCCACAGTCCAACAATAATTTGACTTTATATTTTTATACTCATATTATAATAGACATTCCAGCATCAGATCATTTCTAAGTGTCTGAAAATGCTTGGTTCAAATATCTGGTCTCTGCAAACTTTTCAAAAGTCTATACTCTGATTAGATGGACCTGATTGGATGGTCTGTTGATTTGTGATTGGTCTATGACTTATTAATCTATGAGCTTCAGCTTTTATAAACACTGATATACATCATGGCATGTTTCCACTGCATGGTACAGCTTGGAACAGGGAAGTACAACTATGGGTGGGGTTTGCCATGTTTTAAAGTTAACAGTAAAGCAAACAGCACCAAGTCATATCATGCAGTAGAAAATAAACTTTAGAAAAGTTACAGACCAATTATTGTAGCTTTATTTCTGAAAGCACAGCAGCTATCAAAACAGTATCATAACTTGCTCCTGTCCTTATTATTAGCGTATTGCATCCATTAGATCGTATGCTCTGGAAAAGCAGCCATGCTCATGTACTCTATTTACTGGCCTGTAGTTTTTGCTAATGAAAAGAGGACAGAAGTGGTCAAAAGCAGACAACTGAGACAGATAAAATAACATGCATACAGAAATGTGTCTGCCTCATCTATTTGTAAGCTGATCAAACAAAATGCATATTAGGCTCCATTTACACCTGGTATTAAAGGCATAGTTCACCCAAAAGGAAAAATTCAGTCCTCATTTACTCATCCTTGACTTGTTCCAAACCACTTTTTTTCTTTTGTTGAACACAACAGAACATGTTTTTTTTTTTCTGTTGAACACAAGCTAATTGGGATCTGGTATTAGTTTTTTTGTAATAAGTCAATGGTTTCCAATTTTCAACAGAACAAAAAACTGATTTGGTTTAAGTCAAGGACAAATAAATAATGACAAAATTTTCCTTTTTGGGTGTACTACCCACTTAAAGGGTGGTTTTTTGTTGATTCAATCTAAAGTTGTCAAAAGTACCAACTCTGGTTTCAATTGATACTGAAATTTTTTAAATAATTTTTTAATAAAATGTATTTTGTGTGCCATTGAGTGGATTCTTCAAACCTCTGGGTATTCAAAAATCACAAAGAAATTATAAATTCATTCATTCATTCATTTTCTTGTCAGCTTAGTCCCTTTATTAATCCGGGGTCGCCACAGCGGAATGAACCGCCAATTTATCCAGCAAATCTTTATGCAGCGGATGCCCTTCCAGCCGCAATCCATCTCTGGGAAACATCCACACACACATTCACAAATCAACACATTAGGTTAGCAGTCCAATCAGAGCCCATTAAGGTCAGGCCTTGGTAGGAACCAAGAAATATGATAGACATTTTCATGTTAGCTGAGCAGTATAAAATTAAGGTAAGATGTGTGTAAAAGTTTTTTTTTTTTTTTTTTTTTTTTTTTTTTTACAAATGAAGCACAAGGACACATTGTTTTGCACCCCATAAACACAATTGAGCTTTAAAAAAACACTCTAGACCACCTTTTTAAGAAACTGGCCAACAGCACCAATTAAATGTTAATGGGCAATGTTGATAACGACTAGTAATGAAATCAGCACAATGATATTATGCAGCTGTACTTACTAGTTACCTAGCTGGTCACTATTTTCTGGAGCTGTGTGATATCACCGCGCATGCTAAAGCAAAAGCAACAAATCTTCATTATTATGTCAGAATGAGAGTCTAATTCTTAAATAACGGTAGTGTTGTCACAATAATGGTATTCGATACGAATCGGTACTGAAATTTTGAAAACGCCCATTTCCTGCGAACATCTAAGCACTGTTGAGCATGTTCATAAACAACGCTAATTTGCCATTGTGTTCACGTGCTCAACAGAAATGACTGGTCGTGAAGGTCATGAGTTCACCGAACTGAAGACTGGAGCATTTTAATTAAGTGAAGATCAGCTGGTTTGTTTATAATAAGACATACAAGCATACAAGTTTTTACGGCTTTTAAAACTCTTTAGTGTCCCTCTATCTGTGGTTACACTTAGTAAACAGCTGTGAGTTTAATGATCTGATGACCTTCATGACCCATTACAGCATGTAAACACAATGGCAAATCAGCAGTGTTTAAAAAGGCACTTAACAGCGCTCAAATGTAAGGTGGAAATGGACGTTTTTAAAATTTCAGTACTAATTGGTATTGAATTCCAGTATCGTGACAACACTAAGCCACAGTCACATCGCACTTTTCATCCTGTAGACTGCCATTTATACGCATGTGAATGCAACAAACTGGAAACACGAGGTCGTGTGACAAGTTTCGCATGTCATGGCATTCTAAAGTTCAAGCTTGGTAAACTCTGACCTGCAAAATCACATCACATGATTACTTGAGACCAATCGAAAATCAAAACGTGACCTCTCTGTACAAACATATTTTAAATATGGACCAATCGCCCGCTTTTTGAATGTCATCTTGTTTTTATCTGGCCCCGTTTCACAGTGCTGAATGACAGAATTTTGCAAGCTCAAACTCTGTGACCGCGGCTTTAGACATTTCAAGATAGAAAATAGCAACTTTATCCGTCAGTCTGCAACTACAGAAGTGTCTAGCTTTAAATAGAAAAAATACTCAAATTCAATGATTTATGCTAAGCTAAAAGTGCTTCCGCCAGATCCAAAAATCAGCTGAATGGATTAAAAAAAATTAAACTCAATTGTTTAACTCTAAGGGACTTGTAAAATGAGCCTATTTTCCAAAAAGTGGAGTGATAATTTAAGAGCCGGGGCCTCATATTCACAAACAGCTCCATCACACCCTACATGAAACATAATATCCAAAAAAATAAGATAAGAACAGTCAGTCCGGACCAGCGTGTCACATTACTTCATGTGCAACTGATTAGTTCATGATCCGCTTCAAAGAGAAACAAACTTGCTGATGGTCCAAAAACTGCTTTGAGACGAGCAGTTGGCTTTGCAAGCAGATTCAAGCATCTTCTAGAAAGATTTTCACAGAGGCGTGTGTTTATTAAAACAGCGCGAGACAGGCGGTGCTGTTAAATCAAGACACAACAATAAATCGATATGTTCCCTGGGCTCCACAGCTGGGCTCCTTCGCCGGGGCCACATTAATTATGAAAATGTCTGGTGAAGAGAGTAGTGGGGTATGAATCTGAAGGAGAGACAAATTGTGTTTGCACAGCTTGCCAGTTTCATACGGAAGGGCTTAAAGAGAGAGGAATATATATGTGTGTGTGTGTGTGTGTGTGTATGTGTAGATCCGGCCCAATCTGAAGGACCAGGGTCTCTCATCTCCACCGATGGGCATTTTCATTTCCATTATCATACCTCTTCAACGTCAAGCACCAAACAACAGGACGTCTGAATGACCTTCAAGGGCTTTTCAGCAAAAATAACAGTCGGTTAAAAGCCTATATGAAATGAAACTACAAAACAGTCTGCCATCACTTGCCACTCTCTCATGTTTCTGAGAAATTAAGCTTACATTTTATCTTGCTATTCTGTCTTGAAACAGAAGAAGAATAAAAAGTGAATGTGTGTGTTAAGTGGCACAGGTGTTAAAACTCTGGCTAATACCAATTAAATGGCAATTGCCTAATCAATTGCTGATGGTACAAAAATTCGAAACTATTTTCCCTAAAATAAACAGATAATTAGGCGACGCGGTGGCACATGCACAGTGGGTAGCACGTTCGTCTCACAGCAAGAAGGTCGCTGGTTCGAGCCTCGACTGGGTCAGTTGGCATTTCTGTGTGGAGTTTGCATGTTCTCCCAATGCTTCGCTTTCCCCCACAAGTCCAAAGACATGGTACAGGTGAATTGGGTATGCTAAAATTGACTCTAGTGTGTGTGTCTGTGTGTGTGTGTGTGTGTGTGTGTGTGTGTGTGTGTGTGTGTGTGTGTGTGTGTGTGTGTGTGTGTGTGTTTCCCAGTGATGGGTTGCAGGTGGAAGGGCATCAGCTGCATAAAAACATATGCTGGATAAGTTGGCGATTCATTCAGTTATGGCGACCCCAGATTAATAAAGGGACTAAGCTGAAAAGAAAATAAATGAAATAAATGAAAAGAAAATTATAACAAAATAAATAAAAATTAAAACTAAAAAAATTCTGTCTTTATAAATGTTACCAGCACAAAGTCTTTATAAAATTAATCAATTACTGAAGTAAAAATTCTACTTGATATAAAATAATCAAATGCATTATTTAATTTTAGTTCAAGTAAATATACATTTCAAAAATGGCTAGTTTTTGGTATATAACAAAAATGTTAAATTTTTATAAAATTACCACATTATAAAAACAATAAATTAAAATCGAAATATTGGTAATATTTTTTTAATTAGCTTGTATTTTTGGTTTTCATTTGAATTTCAGTTTGCATTTTTTTGCTTTAAGTTTTTGTTTGTTTTATTAATTAGATGTATTATTTATTTTAGTTGCTGTAACTGAAACAAAAATTTCTTGGAAACTAACTGAAATAAAAGTTTATAATTTCTTTTTTTCAGTTATATAATATTTTATTTCAGCTTTACTGCAATTGACAAAATAATTTTATAAATATGTTTACTAAACACTAGCAATACTGTCATTCACAATTAACCATCTATCCCTGTCAACCAATACCATGAATTAAAATCTCTAATTTCAGTAAATAATCAATATGGTACCGATGTTGTGCATAATCAGTCCATATTGTTTGGTTTTCATCATTTCCACACAATATTTACCTCTCATTACAAGGTATGGGATGATGACCAGTTTCAAGTCAAGCTTTTAAAACCACAAACATTTTCTGTTACACCAGTGGTTCCCAAAGTGGGGGACGCAGGACAATGACAGGACGCTGCATGGTGATTTCCAAAAGTCAAATAAATTTTATTAAACTGTTAGAATGACCATA